GTAGAGCACCGAGAAGGCAACCAAAATTTGCACCCAATTTACACCAGAATGCACTGTAAATGCCCGTGGCCGCAACAACTACGTTGATAGAAATGGAAGCGGCAGGCCCCCCCGGCGGCGGCAGTGAAGCTTTTCCATTCCAGAAAAGGGCCTGTCGCAGCCTCTCCCCCAACGAATGCCACAACCCTGCACATGGGCAAAACAGATAAACAGTGATCTAGGCTAGAGCCGGAGCGCCAACCCTTGATGGCTTTCCTGCCGTGGCATCCTCAGGTTGTCGAAAGCCCAGCCACTGTGCAGGCAAGAAACATGACAAGCAGGGAAAACCCAACCATGACGGGGACATTAAAAGGTCAGAAAAGCTCGAGCTCTACCACTTTACATCTTTGCCATTTCGGCTGTGCCGCGCTCCATGGACGTTTTCGGCTCCTGTACATGTTGTGCGGCATGCTTGGAGCCAGTGCGGGGAGTTTGGGATTCACATGGTCTAGCTGACAAATGTTCAGCCCTGGCTGCTGCTGCCCTTTCAGGTGTCCCAAGGCCATCTGTTTGCATGTGTCACAACTCTCTACACTCAAGCCGGTCACAGGCCTTATGTAAAATGGAGCGAGGATATGTCGCAGCTCAGGGGCATCGCGTGCTCTTCGCAAGTTTTGGAAATTTTCAGCTTACAGCCACTGAAGCGGGGCATGAGATAGTGACTGCAAGAATTAGCGTTTAGGGTTTTAGGTAAGGGAGGCTTAGAAACTAGATTAATGGCCCGTAAGCCCATATAGTGGCCCTAGTTATCCCCTTTTTTTAAACCACTTACCAAGTCCCCCGACCCTCCAAGTAAACTGTCATTTTCAGAATTAGGGGTCCTTTCTGGGGAGACCTTGTAGTCTAGGGATGATACATAGTCCATTGCGATCGATATCGCCCCCTCCTTTTTGCGGACCCCATGGCAAAACTGAGTGGCTGTTAAGGAACCTAAATTATGTTCACATAATAAGGAAACCCGATTATATACGACATACCCATAATTTCGTATCTGGCCAGGCATCGCCAAAGCCTTTGGCCCAGGTAGTCGAGATCGACAAGGCACCAACCGTTGGAGCTTCAACGTTGAAGTAGCTCAAGACTTTCAGAGGACACTGCCCTTTGAAGCTCTGTTTGGAGGCTTCATGGTTCGGGTTAGAGTTTTACAGTTGGCAGTGTTTGGGGTTTAGGTTGTTCAGGACCTTGCGATGTTGGAACCTTGTTCTACTTCATGAGGTCTTGTGTAGGGAGCTGGGTAGGTCTTACAGCTGGGGCTACCTGAAGTCCCCCCCAATGCCTTTCGTGAAGGGTTTAGGGTTGAATGTCGATCAGAGTTTTGGTTTCAGAGGTCCACTAGGGTCCACTAGAGAACCGTTTTGGAGGTGTAGTTTTCATGATCACCATGGGAAAAACTTCTGCAGTGCCCGCAATCAGGATGGTAGTCGAATCCAAAGGTGTTTGCTTATAAGACCCCAAGCCTACTAACGAGCCTACGTGTCTTGGTGATTATGGCTGACGAATGACAGCCACCAGGCACCGACATCTGCACGCCGCGGACGTAGTCCGGCGACAAAGGACAAGGCTTGGTACCATCTGTTTTGGGATATGATGGATTGGGCCATGATCCACTCGTCAAACTCCCACATATGTCAGTGGGATTAAACACAGTTCCAGTGGATCGTGGGCCTGTATCCGCAGCTTTTTTGAATTGTTGCCATTTTCATCAGTTTCCGCATGCGTATTGATTTCCAACAGTTCGAGTATCAACGATCATCAGACTCGCCTGATGTTGCATGCTCATGTTGGAGTTGTGTTGCAGATAGAGCTGCTCCTGGAATCCCGCAATCATTGGTGCCGGCTTCTGGTAGCTACGGTTCCTGAGATGAAGACGATCACAGGTGTTCAGCTGAAGAGACAAAATTACCAAGCCCTCTAGCCAGGTAGAAGCTCAACATTCTCAAGTCCACCTTGGGCCTTGAAGTAGTGGAGGAATGGGGACATGGGTTGCGGGTCTTAGGTTATGGACCCACAGCTGAAGACTTCATCTGGAATGGGGTTTCTAGAAGCCTGCTTCCCACACTCCGGGCCGCAATTGCGAAGTCTGTCAAATCATTTATCAAAATGAAGGCTCCCCCCATACCTGCCCAAAGAAACGTCATGGTGGCTTTCATTGTTTCCAGCATTCCTACATATTCCCTGCAACATCCCAGTAAACCCATCTTTTGAGAACCGCTGAAATGGGAGCTTCAAAAATGCGCCCTTCCTCGAATCCCTAAGAGCAACCTTCGAAATCTATCCCGTTACAATCTCCCCAGATAGTAGTTTCCCAAAATAGGGGGACCCCAGTATAGACCCCCAAATGCTATAGTCCTTGTATAGGGACCCCCCAAAGGGTACTCCTAATTTTGGGAAATCCCTAAACCCTAAACCCTAAACCTTAAACCCTAATCCCTGAACCCTAAACCCTAAAAAACTTGGGATCCCGTTTTGATAAAACTTCCAAATCCTCGGGAGGTGCCAACGAATCCAAAGATCTTGACTGGCAGCATGGACAAGGCAAAAGCCTTCAAGCTCATCTGAGCCATAGTCTAAACTCCTTAAAGGGGGTTATATAGGGGATTATATAGGGGATTACTATAGGGGTTATTAAGGGGGGATACTAGGAGTTTAGACAGTAGCTCATCTGGTAAGCCGAGTTTTAGCGCTTTGGTCCTCAAGTGCAGCCATGCTCGTGAAGATGCAAGGCTTCCCATTCTACAAATTCAGGTTGCTTCCTTCTCCGTTTTTGGGCTCTTTCCAGTTTCTAAACCCTAAAAAACCCTAACCCTAAACCCCTAAACCCTAACCTCTTCTCCCAGCCCCCCCCGCCGTATCCCCGCTTCGGTTTTGAGGCCTTACGGGATTCAGCGTGTTTGTGTTGTTGAGAGCATCCAAGAGCCTTCCTTTCAATGCTAGCCTCTCGGGTGCCGCCACGGCTCAGCGAAAAGCCCAAGGCACAATTCAACTGAGTAGTATTTTATTTGGGGATATTATGGTACCCAATATAGAGTAAGACTGTATGGTGCTTTTGGGGTATAGTATTTTCTATAAAGAATATGATCTTACTGGGTTTAACAATCAAAAAAACCGCTTCTCAACTGCAGCAGCTTGAATAATGAGCAACATTGCTGCCCGAGCCCTGTATAAGTGTAGTATAATCTACGCCCAAACCCTAAGCTTACTGGTTCTTAGTAGGGAATAAGCCCTATGTCAATATGCTATGGTAGTTTCCATTTTCTTTTCCAGTATTCCATATGTATACCCCCAGTAATATGCACTCTATTATGACATAGTGGTTTCCATTTTCTTTTCCATCATGTTCTACATAACCCCAATGCCTGCCCCTAAAACCTTCATAACCGCATTATAGTAGTTTCCATGTTCTTTTCCATTAGTAGGGCCGTGCAGTGAATACCGAGCAGCATCACATTCTGATGCGGCGCCGGGGCGTTCACATGCTCCATGTTTGCCTTTAGTTGGGCCTCCAAGGCATGCTCTCGGCTGTTAGCGGGGACCCGAATTTGGTAATGATTCTTAGCTGTAGATACAGTTGGTTTTTTTCGCCTCTCCACTTCTTTTCTGGCTACACCTTTTTAACCTGTACCCGACAGTTACCTCCGGACGCAAAACCCTAAACCGCTCGGGCTTTGGATCAACGAAGTCTTGGTAGCTGAGTAGGTAATGTTTAACCTTTGGGATATGTACACACAGTATGTACATACATAATCGAGTCCTGCTTTGGGCCTTTCTGATTTGAATCAGTGCATTGGGCCTTCTGTCACTGAAGTTGACGTCAATGCAGGCACCAGCCAAGATCAGAGCTGCCTCTATGAACAAGGAGAAGGCATGGTCGATTAAGTGGCGCTGCCTTCCAGTAATAATACTCATAGTACTACCAGTTGTTTTTAGGTATTCGTGCTATTCGTAGGATTTATAGTATTAAGTAATGGTATGTAATTGCAAAAAAATCTTGATACCAGTTTCAGGAATGGCAACAGTTGTGCCCAGAAGCTCCTTCTTGGCATTGAAGAGCCGCAACTAGTAACTAGCTACCATACTCGAGGTTCTCTTGATTGTGATGGTACGAGCCCTTTAAGACCTCGTGAGCGAATAGGGTACTGTTTGCAGATTTTGGTGATATGGCTGCATGAGTCACCTGAGCGACGACCTAGAGTTCCGTCAAGAGAACCAAGGCTACGGACGTCGGTATTTTTTTATTGGGAGCAGCCGTTCTAAGGGAAGCGAGAAGGGGCCGGAGTAACAAGCGGAGATCCAGGTATTTCATTGAATAACATATTTTTTGAAATCATTGCTCCTACATTTACGCGAGATCCCCCCAGAATTCACAAAAAGCGAGACCATGGCATTTATGAGTATTCTTAAAGTAAGCGAACACAGGGGCCGGAATAAGGAAATAGCGCTCACTGCCCAAACAAGAACTTTCGTCCGCCGCTCACATGAGGACCGCCACAAATAGCCGGCAAAACCACATAGACTTTGTACCGTGTTGCAGAACTCTCCATTGGGGCTCACGTGTGTCTCGACAGGCTACGCCGAGGCAACCTGCCAAGGATCTGAAAAAGGCAGGGTTTCTCAAGACGACCGAGGGACCGAGGGTCGTATAGGTATTCTTTTGCAGCTACAATAACGCTTCCATCTAATACTGAAACCAATGATCAGAGATCAGTTTGATCAAGGTCAAGTGCTCAAGCTGAGTGTGGCTTTGGCGTCTTTGTGCGTTTTGGGCAAGGGATTGCAGGAGAACTCTGATGCATTGGTGTTTGCCAAACTTCGGTCCCTTTTGGGCTTCAGCACAAGTATAACAGTCTAAGGTAAATGGGATGCGCATTTCTGGAAATTCCAAGCAGGCAAAAACATCGGTTGGTCCCCAGCTTGGCTCACCGCTGCCGCCCACCGCACGCTTCGCTCCCCTCTTTTCTGCCATGGCTTTGCCAATGAAGAAGACCGCCATGAAGAAGGCTATGAAGGCCAACCCCATGAAGGCCATGGCCAAGAAGGGAATGAAGGCCTGCTTGCAAGCGATGCCTCGTGCGGATAGGTTTGAGCGCCTAATTAGTTCGCGGATTTCTTGCACGCCCGGAGTTAGGTGATGAAGAAGAAGACTATCAGCAAAATTGCCCGCGGCAAGCTGGCGAAGATGGTGGTCTTCAAGGGCCGCAAGGAGATGCCTGGGTTGTTCCTGCTTCTTCCAAAAGCCCCTGGTAGACCTTCCTGCAAGGGAAGCCTGTGTGCATCCGCGAGGAGAAGACGGCCACAGGACTCCAGAAGGTGCACCTGATGAAGAACAAACGTGGCAAGGCAGGCTGATTTTGCAATTTGAATGCGCATGTCAAGTGTCTGCCTGCTACAACCCCTTTGCAGGTGGTTTCCAAGAAGCAGCATGCCAGGGGCAAGGAGTTCCAGAAGTCCGGCAAACTCTGGCTCGACGCAGTCCTGACTGCCAGGAAGGAGCTGGGCCTGAAGGGCTTCTGCCCCGTCGGTGGGAAGAGTGCTCAGGGCAAGGCCTTGTACGCCAAAGCCAAGGCGCTTTACGCGGCCTGAGCTGAGATTTGTACAGGGGACGCGCCTGCTTTCGTGGTAGTTCATGGAGCAGATGGCGCTTGCACCTGCCTGAGGGCATAGGGTGCAGTTACCAGTTCAGAGAGCTTGGCAGGGAGATGCCGTCATGAACAAAGCCATTCATGTGCTGCCCTTGCGCGAAAATGCGCCCCTTACCATATTGCGGGGTCCCAATAATAAGGACTATGGTATTTTGGGGTTTATATTGGGGTCCCCTTATTTTGGGAAACTACCATATAGGACAGCATCATGTTTCGGATGCCAACGGATGGTAACCAGAAGTAAGTGCTACAGTAGCTAAACATCTCTCCGTAAAATCCTTAGGAGGGGCTGCGATAATCCCCTCAAAGACATCAGGGCAATATAGGGGCCTGAATAATTACCAATATTATGGTTCCATTTTCCTTACATACTTAGGGTCTATGGTACCTCAAATGGACCTCGAAATGATATTGGTAATGATTTAGGCCCTTGCAGGACTCATTTTGAGCAGCTCACCGCTGTCAGTTTGTGTTTTGCGCAGGCGCCGTCTTCTGAGCGCAAGGCCGCCAAGGACAAAGAGGCAGATGCGGTGAAAGCCTTCAGGTATTCAAAGCAGCTGTAAAGGAACCTAGGTGCTGTCTTGAGGCAGTGATGCATGTCAGATTCTTGGGGTTTCTTGATGCGAAGATGTTGGCCGCCCTCTTGGGAAACAAGGCGTTCAATTGTAAGTTGTTCAGCGCTGCTGAGCGATGGACCCCTTGTGCGAGTTCGGTAGCAGCACTGTTTAAAATCAGGCACAGCTAGCGTAGCATAGAACTCGGTTCATTTGTTAAAAGCTCAAAGCTTGGTTGTGAAGGGCCACCCTGTGCCTTGTGAGCTTACCATCGCTGCGACAAGAGAACGTGCAGCACTTATGTAGATCCGCATGTGTGCTCATGTGACTTTCCAGGCTGTGATCCAGCCTCCAGAGCAACCACGCTATCCGCAGTAAAGTTGGTCTCAAGCCTGACCGAACCGGCAATCTTTCGTGGCAGCGCCGGTGACAGCACTATGCTTTCACAACTTCCGTTGGCATTGGTAGTTTCCTTTGCTGCTGCCCTTGACATCCAGAACAAGGGGGGCGGAACAGCGCTCATCATCAATGACGTGCAGACATGCTTCTTGGAAGGCGGGTCCCTGGGAGTTACAGGCGGGAACAGCGTCAAGGACAAGATTCAGCAGATCTACGACGAGAAGTCTTGCCTGTTTGACTTGGTTGTGCAATCCCAAGACTTCCACCCTGAAAACCATATCTCCTTTGCAGAAGAGCATGGTCTCCCTCCCTTCGCGGACTTAACCCTGGGAAAAGGTGAGTTGCCAATCACCTGCATTGACCCTGCGAATGGGAACATTGCGGAAGCTGCCTGCTGTCCAAGTTACTACCTTGATGACGATATAGATTGCAACACAGTTCTCTGTCCTGGTCCTAATGGGGATGGCAAAAATGCAGACGGCTCTGCCTTCACCTATGCGTCTGACAGCATCGTCATCGCAGGCAACCCGGCATGTACGACTTGCGCAGCAGGCGCAAGCCCACAGAGTTGCTTCACAACGACGCAGCGCATGTGGCCGGTCCATTGCCTGTCAACGCCTGGCGGTGACAGCGCCTTGGAACTTGACATCGACGAGTCGAAGTATGAGCTGATCCAAAAGGGCGACAACCAGTTTGTCGATGCTTACAGCGCCTTTGCCGACAACACCAATAACTTGCAGACCCCCCTTCAGGACTTGCTGCAAGCAAACGGCATCAAGCGTGTCTACATTGTTGGCATTGCCACAGACGTGGTTGTGAACTACACCGTTCGGGATGCTGTTTTGCGTGGGTATCGCACAACAGTGGTTGGGGATGCAACAGCCGGAGTCTCCGCTGCCTCGGAGGCTCTGGCTCTGCAGGAGTTCGAGGACCTTCAGGGTGTGGAGGTGGTGAGCACCGAGGACGTCTTAGGTTTGCCATGCACAGGCTACCATGCGCGTCGCAAGAAAGTCTTCCACCGCATCCACCCAGCAGTCAAGAGAATCTGGAGGAAAATCTGGAAGGGCGCCAAGAGACGTCTCCACAAGCGTCTTCGTCGCCACTACCACTCAACCCTTCAAAATCTTGAAGTTGACGCAAGTTCTGGAGTTCGACACCCTCAGCTTGAAACTGACAGCGTGCATTTCATGCAGGAGGGCATTCGCCATAAGGAGCTGTAGATATGCAGTCATGGTGTGCTGCTGCGAGAAGGGGCGATGAACCATGGTTTACAAGCTCATCGCACGAAAAGGCTTCTTGCTGCATCTTGCTGACCTGGAGACATGCGGCAGCCTGAAGTGGGCAGGCATCCGGACCGTCTGATCAAAGCATAGGGCGGTTCAAGGAGTTGCCTGGCTTTCATGTGCCCGCTTGGCCATGGGCCTTGATTTTGACGGGCTTCCCCCCAAGGGGGAATGACTCCACGTTTGAAAGACAGCAAATGCTCCGTTGGACAAGGGCTAATGACCCTTGGTCGGAGTTTTCGGGTACTATAGCCTGGAACTCGCAACAGATCTTGCAAAATGGGGTCTCCTGTGCCAGAAGGACCCCGAAACTTTGGCAGGCCACCCCTTCAACCTTTCAAACTCCGTGCAAAAAGCCTCTTCATGTTAGTGCAGGTGCCATCGCCCCGGCGCACGCGCAGCCCTCTGAGGAAGGCCCTGGACTTGCAAGTGGACATGTAAATGCTTATACTACTATTATTATTACTATTATTATTATTACTACTATTGTCATTATTATTATTACTATTATTATTACTATTATTATTACTATTATTATTACTATTATTATAGGGCACGTTGGCACTTTAGGAAAAGCTGACCTGAATAGTTAGAGGCAAAGAGCTGGAGAATTTGAAAAGATCATATGGCTTTTCAAGGTCCATACTGCTGGTCAGACTGGAGCTTGAGGGATACGAGTTTAGGTTGGGTGTTTGAGTTCACGGTAGAGGGTTCGGGGTTCTCATTCGCATCTCCTTCTCTCAATCAATCAAGAGCAGCGCGCATTGCCAAAAGCAACATAAAGCCGAGAAAGAAGTAAATGAGGAGCTTGTATCCTCTTAGTTTCCAAATTAAATTCTGAAGACCGGCAATCTCGGAGACCCAAAGCCCCTGGGTCGTGCCAGCTATCCCGTTTAAGAGCTGTTCAGGGCGCACACCCAAGGCCCGGTCCTGACTCTGAGCTTTCTGTTGCACTTTTGAAATCCTGACTACTAGTATCATTACTTTTACTATTACTATTACTATTATTATTATTACTATTATTATTACTATTACTATTATTATTACTACTATTTTTATTACTACTACTATTACTATTATCCTATGATTTGGGATGCAGTGGGCAAAGTTGGTACAGCCAGCGACTTCGCCCAGGCGGCCACGCGCCCCGCACCTCGTAACCGGCTCGAGGCCTCTCAGTCAAAAGGTGGTGGGATTCTGTCCTACTGTTTAGGGTTATATTGAGGTTATATTGAGGTTATATTGGGGTTGTATTGGGGTTATATTGGGGTTGTATTGGGATTAAATTGGGGTTATATTAGGATGATATTCTGAGGCACTCAGGATTGTAAATGCTTGGGCGAAGCTTGGTAGACTGATGCCACTGCTTCGATGGCTGCATTGTAGCTGCTAGTAAGACGACTATGACGAGTGGGAATGCTAGCGTCGCTTCTTCTGCTTTTGGAGCCTAGTGGAAGCGGTAGTCGGTAGTCATAGGTCGGTAGTCATAGTACAAGAAGAAGTAGTAGCACAAGTAGCAGCGGCCAGCATGAGTAGTAGGATTACGATTAACACGTGCTATAGTCTAAACTCCGTAAAAGGGGCTACACAATGCATAGTTCGGGGAATCGAATAGGGGACTACTACAGTGTTTATTAGGGGGGATACTAGGAGTTTAGACCTTAAACCCTATACCCTAAACCCTATACAAAGGGGTTATTGAGGGGGATACTACGAGTTTGGACCCTAGCTCATATGAGCTAGTGACTAAATTTAGGTTGGGGGGACCTATAGGGGGAATATAATGGGTTTTAGGGGGGACCTATTAAGGGATATACTACAAATTTAGTCCAGCGCTCATATCCCCTGCTAATAGTGGTATACTAGGAATATGTAAGGACCTTAATATACTTACCATTACCTCTTGTGGTCACTATTCGTGAGTGGGGGCCCAACCTACCCTAAACCCTAAACCCTAAACCCAAAAAGACTTAGTAGCTGCAGGGTCCAAGCCTTGCAGGATACGGTCTCAGCCCTCAAAGAGCCAGCCCTGCCGGCACCTCGAACCGTTGAGAAGGCCCGGTTTGTGGCATTTCAGAGAATAAAAGGATTTTACTGGGAACCCCCAAAGAGGGAACCCCAAGAATATAGTAGGAACATAGTAGGAATATACCTACCAGGGTCCCTATGTTTTACTACATTCCTACTATTTTCTTGGGGTTCCCTGTTTGGGGTTCCCATTAGAACCCTTTTAGAGAAGCGGCCCTTGGAGTCCCTGCGGTTTAGAGGTTTAGGGGTCTAGGATGTAGGATTTTGGGGGTTAGGGTTTGGGTTTAGGACCAGGCTTTGGGGTTTAGGGTTTAGGATTGAGGGTTAAGGGGTTCAGACCTTGTGTTTGAGGATTTTGCTCCTTGGACTTTCTGGGGTTTTTGAGAGTTAGTTGGACTCTGTCCCCACATTCAAGGCTTAGGGTTTAGGGCTTGAAGTCTCAACAGTCATGGGCGACTCCGCGTCACTGAAGGGTTTCTACAAGTTCGGAAAGTAGGGACTAAGAGTTGAGGATGTAAGGTCCAAGGCGCCTTTCCCTGAACCCCAAAAATAAACCTGCACCCTGGAACCTAAACCCTGAACCCTAAATCCCTAAACCCCTAATCCTAAACCCTAAAGCCCTAAACCGTAAACTCTAAACCCTAAACCCTAAATCCCTAAACCCTACATCCCTGTGA